ATTTCTTTGTATGGCTCTGCATAGCAGAGCCATACAAAGCAGTGTGCTTACTGTAAAACACAGACACAGCCCACGTAGTAAAACAGCACACAGTTAACCCTTTGATCGCCCCACATGTTAACCTCTTCCTACCCAGTGCCATTAGTACAGTGTCAGTGCTTTTTATTAGCACTGATCACTGTATTGGTGTCACTGGGGATGGCAGTGACAACAAATCAGTTCCTCCCAGTGTCAGATTGCCTGCCGCAGTCCTGCTATAGGTCGCTGATCGCCGCCATTACTAGTTAAAAAAAAAATCCAGTATCTATACCGCCATTTGTAAACACTATAACTTTAACATAAACCAAATAATTTACATGTATTGGGATTTTTTTTAGCAAAGACATGTAGCAGAATACATTTTGGCCTAAATGTGTGACGAAATTTGATTTTTAAAATTTTTTTACTGGATATGTTTAATAGCAAAAAGTAAAGAAATATCGTTTTTTTTTCTCAAAATTGTCGTTCTTTTTTTGTTTAAAGCTCAAAAAATAAAATAAATGCATTGGTTATCAAATACCACTGAAAGAAAGCTCTATTTGTGGGAAAAAAATGACATAAATTGCATTTGGGTGCAGTGTTGCATGACCGTGCAATTATCAGTTAAAGTAATGCAGCGCTGTATCACAAAAAAAGGCCTGGTTAGGAAGGGGGTAAATCCTATGGAGGGAAAGTGGTTAATAAGAATTTCTAAAGTGGTCTTAAACTTGCAATAATGACAAAAACTAGTCATGGCAGCAAAACTAACGCCTGCTTAAAGGAAATCCTAACAGGATGACATTGCTTGTTAAATTACTGTGTATTATGAACAAATTCCATGATCAACTTCTCTCAGTGCTGCTGATCTCCTCCAGTCATTTAGCCACCACATCCTGTCTATATGCACTCATTACAGCAGCAACTGCACATCAATGCCTCTTAACATGCTTTCTTAAAGAGACATCTGTGGAACAAGCCTGTGTAATGAGAGGTAGTATTGCTACTTATAGGTGTTGAAGTATTAAAGCAAATAAGCTGTTCACTTTGCAAGCAAAAAATGCTGTTTTCTAATTTTTTTGCACATAAGTGGGTATTCTTTGCAAAGTAAACTCTTACCACATTCAATAAGCTCTGGGAAAAATTCATTTGCAAAGTGCAACTTACATTGTACCTTGCACAGCCTATTTCCTGTTAATAAATCAACCCCATAATCTCCACTGGAAGCACATATGACAGGGTAACTACTTAGGAGACCAACAGAGAAACATGGAGAGAGCATTTTCACCCAATAATATGCAATGCTTAAAAAGGGAGCTCAATGGCAAAATTACCAGCTATTTACTTTGGGTACTTATATAGTGCCCTCAATTTATGCAGCACTTTACTTATGTACAGTTGCAAGAAAAAGTATGTGAACCCCTTGGGATTATGTGGAGTTTTGCATGAATTGGGCATAAAATGTGCTCTGAACGTCATCTAAGTCACAACAATAGAAGAACACAGTCTGCTGAACATAATACTACACAAACATTAGATGTTGCCATGGTTTAATTGCACAGAACATGTAAACATTCACAGTGCAGGGAGGAAAAAGTATGTGAGGCCCTAGCTTAATGACTTCTCCCAGAGCTAATTGGAGCCAGGAGTGAGCCAACCTTGACTCCAATCAGTGTGATGATATTGGATGTGTTGCTGACAGCTGTCCTGCCCTTAAAAAACACACACCTGTTTTGGGTTTACTGGTTTCAAGAAGCACTGTCTGATGTGAACCATGCCTCGCAGAAAAGAGCTCTCAGAAGACCTACGATCAGGAATTGTTGACTTGCATGAAGCTGGAAAAGGTTACAAAAGTATCTCCAAAAGCCTTGATGTTCATGTGTCCACGGTAAGACAGACTGTCTACAAATGGAGAAAGTTTAGCACTGTTGCTACTCTCCCTAGGCGTGGTCGTCCTGTAAAAATGACTGCAAGAGCACAGCGCAGAATGCTGCATGAAGTAAAGAAGAATCCCAGAGTGTCAGCTAAAGACCTACAGAAATCTCTGGCACATGCTAACATTTTTGTTGACACATCTACAATAAGGAAAACATTAAACAAGAATGGAGTACATGGGAGGACACCACGGAGGAAGCCATTGCTGTCCAAAAAGAATATTGCAGCACGTTTAAAGTTTGCAAAAGAGCACCTGGATGTTCCACAGCACTACTGGCAAAATATACTGTGGACAGATGAAACCAAGATTGAGTTGTTTGGGAAGAACACACAACACTATGTGTGGAGAAAAAAAGGCACAGCATGCCAACATCAAAACCTCATCCCCACTGTGAAACATGGCGGAGGGAGCATCATGGTTTGGGGCTGCTTTGCTGCCTCAGGGCCTGGACGGATTGTTGTCATTGATGGGAAAATGAATTCCAGAGTTTATCAAGACATTTTGCAGGAAAACGTACGACCATCTGTCTGCCAACTGAAGCTCCGCAGAGGATGGGTGATGCAACAGGACAATGACCCAAAGCATACGAGTAATTCAACAAAACAATGGCTGCAACAGCACAGAATATGCCTTCTGGAGTGGCCCAGTCAGAGTCCTGACCTCGACCCGACTGAAATGCTGTGGCATGACCTTAAGAGAGCGATTCACACCAGACATCCCAAGAATATTGCTACACTGAAACAGTTTTGTGAAGAGGAGTGGTCCAAAATGACTCCAGATCATTGTGCAGGTCTGATCTGCAACTACAGGAAACGTTTGGTTGAGGTTATTGCTGCCAAAGGAGGGTCAACTAGTTATTAAGTCCAAAGGTTCACATAGTTTTTCTTCCCTGTACTGTGAATGTATACATGTTATGTGCAATTAAACCATGGCAACATCTAATGTTTTGTGTAGTATTATGTTCAGCAGACTGTGTTGTTCTTCTATTGTTGTGACTTAGATGACGTTCAGAGCACATTTTATGCCCAATTCATGCAAAACTTCACGTAATCCCAAGGGGTTCACATACTTTTTCTTGCAACACTGTATTATACATTCACAGAAATCCCTATAGGTAGGCAGTGTGCAGAAAACCACAAGTAATTAAATGGTTTTGTTTGATTTATTTATTACAGATACTTATATAGCGCCATCAGTTTACACATCACACTTTGCATATATTGTACATTCACATCAGTTCCTGCCCTCAAGGAGCTTACAAAATCTAGGGTCTCTAATTTTAAATTCATTCATACACACACATACTAGGGCCAATTTAGACAGAAGCCGACTAACCTACGAACATGTCTTTGGAGTACCCAGAGGAAAACCACGCAGGTAAAAGGAGAACATGCAAACTTCATGCATGCATGAAGTGCAGTGATTGGGTTTTCAATACAATGACCCTAGTGCTGCCAGGTGGAAGTGTTAACCACTTAGCCACTGTCTTGCCCACTAGTTTAATCAGTGATTTAGATTTAAAATGACTGAAAATGACCTTTGACATCATATTAAAGCTGGCCATACACTGATCAAAATTCAGTGAGTGGGCTTTCCCATTCACAGAAGTTGGTTTCATTTACTTCTGTTTTGAAGGGACATGATGGAAAGCTGCTGATTAGTAAACAGAATGTCCGAGCGGGGGGGATTCCTTTATCCACCTTGTTCAAGTGTATGAAGAAATCTGTTTTTTTTTTATTGAGCCCGCTAGCTGAATGGAAATAAAAACAAACAGTTTATGGCTAGCTTAGCATGTTAAAGATTATATAACATTTCTTTTTTCTTTTTAAATTTTTTTTTCATTTGAAAACCATAAATATTCAATTGTTGTTTTAATTTTTTCTTTACAAAAATACAGTCAATAAAGAAAAACAAAATCATATAACACAATCTTAAAGAGAAACAACAGGCAGACTGTAATTAAAAAAAAAAAAAACACATGGTATTTTATAAACTACACTGTGGCGGGTTCCATGTACACTGCCTCCTCCTGTCCCTCTCCTCCTGTCTGCTCCACCCACACTCCAATTCCCAACCAGTTCTGAGCCTGAAAAGATGTGTGGGCAGGAAATTTCAAGCACTGTAGCTGACAACTAGATCGTGGCTGCAAGATTGATTTCTATGCTTGAGCCTGCAGAGACCAACCTGGGTGAATGAGCTGAACTCTGCACTACAGCTGAACTCTCCACATCTCCCTCCTACTCTCCTCCCCCCTCCATCTCCTCCTTCTCTCCTCCTCCTTCTCACTCATTCTCTCCCCTCCATCTCTCCCCCCTCCATCTCCCCTTCCTTCTCTCACCCCTCCATCTCCCTCCTTCTCTCACCCCTCCATCTCCCTCCTTCCTCTCCCTACCATTTCCCTCCTCCCCCGCCCTCCATTTCCCTCTTCTCTCCCCCTCCATCTCCTCCTTCTCTGTCCCCTCCATTTCCCCTCCTTCTCACCCCCCTCCATCTTCCTCTTCTCTCCCTCCTCCATCTCCCTCCCCTTCTCTCCCCCCCTCCCATCTCCCTCCCTTCTCTCCCCCCCCTCCATCTCCCTCCCTTCTCTCCCCCCTCCATCTCCCTCCTTCTCTCCTCCTTCCATTTCCCTCCTCCCCCGCCCTCAATTTCCCTCTTCTCTCCCCCCCATCTCCCTCCTTCTCTGTCCCCTCCATTTCCCTCCTTCTCCTCCCCCCTCCATCTCCCTCCTTCTCTCCCCCCCTCCATCTCCCTCCCTTCTCTCCCCCCTCTATCCCCTCCCCTCCCCTCCCCCTCCCATTCTCCCTCCCTTTCTCTGCCCTCCCCCTCTCTGTAGTATTTATTGGAGATGGCTGACAATCTGCTGGCTGGATAAACAGATGGAGGTTTCTCTCAAGTTTGTGTTGCTTATGTTTAACCCCTTCCTGTCCAGCCCCCAGCATCCCTTTAGGGGCTTGTTCACACATGAGCGTTGGTCTCTGAAGAGGAAACTGAATTCAGATCACTCTTCATAGAGCAGTTTGCTGGCATGTGAGGAGATGCTGTATCACCTTCCTCACCACCTGCTTTAACCCCTAGAACTCCACACTAGTGCACTGCCACCAGGGGCGACTGACAACTCATGGGGCCAACGCCCCGGGCAATAGGGGATCATGGGGCCCCTGTGTCCTTGCCCAAACTCAAAAAAGCCTATGAAAAAGGTACCAGGGGTATCTCATGGGGCCCCCTACTGACCCCGGCCTTCGGGCAGTGCCCGAGTTTTCCAAATGGTCAGTCCGCCCCTGACTGCCACCATGTTCATTGCCCACAGTTAGTGTGGGGTGCTTGCAGATCAGCCTCATTCACTTGAATGGGTCACATTCAGCAGGCACTACAGAACGCAACAGAGTATAGTATTTCTGTCATGGCCGCAAAACATCACATAGGCAGAATGTGTACACCCCAGTGTGATGCTCATCCTGAACTATACTCTCCATATGTTGTTGTTTTTTTTTTTTACTTACTCTCTGACCCTGTACTCTGTACTGGTTTTAATGAAGTTCTTTCGTTAAGGAAAAGGCTCAGTAAAGCAGCCTATATATTAATCATTTTTTTTGTTCAACAGTCCATGCGTTGAAACAAAAAAATACTTGATTCTCTCATCCACAATTTCGATGTGGATGGGGGAATCACTCCAGCTGAGGTAAACGTGTTCTGACAATGAAAAGACTTCAATGCTGCCAGAATACACTGATCAGTGCTGCCAGCTATAGTCGGTGGTGCTGATCGTGCAGAAATTTTCCTAGAATGTACAGAAGTCGAACGGTACATCGACTTCTGTACAACTAGCCTGCCCATGCATGGATCGGAATTCAACCAGTCCCTACTGAATATCCTTTTTGTGTGCATAGATACATATGAAATGGAAACCTTTAATTAAAAAAAAATGTTCCTTTGTCCTGAGGTTTGTGTCTTTGAGACTGTCAGTTGTGGCACAGTATTTATTATTTTGTGGGTAAGAGTACTGTGGTATAGGTGTACATTGTATACAGCAGGCACAGATTCTGTTCAATCTCCCTTTAAGACCCTCCCACTGGCCAGCCACAGAACTTATTTCTCTGTCCTTTCCCAGGGTGCCCAATGTCTTTCATAATCCAAGTCTTGCTCACATTTTGTCAACCTGCTTTGACTTTTTAATTGTAAAGCCAGTCAGATTTATGATGAAATTAGATTTTTTTAATTTTTTTACTGGACATGTTTAATAGCAAAAAGTAAAAAATATAGTTTTTTTTTCTCCAAACTGTCTGTCTTTTTTTTATAGCACAAAAAATACAAAACACACAGGCAATCAAATACCACTGAAAGAAAGCTCTGTTCGTGGGGAAAAAAGGACGTACATTTCATTTGGGTGCAGCGTGCATGACCGCGCAATTGTCAGTTAAAGTAACACAGCGCAGTAGTAACGCAAAAAATGGCCTTTTCAGGAAGGGGGGCAAATCCTCTGGAGGGCAAGTGGTTATAAACATATAAAAATGTAAACATAAAAACATGTCCTGTGCACTGCTGACCCCCTGTACACTGCCATACTGACCCCTGTCCACTTCCCTTCTGATTAACCGTCCTCTGTGCTGCTGACCCCCTGTACACTAGCCTACAAACTGCTGACTCCTGCAATACACTACCATACTTCTCCCTGTCCTCCGCTCTGCTGACCAACCATGCTCTGCCCTGCTGACCCCCTGTACACTGCCTTACAACTGCTGACCCCTGCCCAATGGTTTGCTAAACCCTCTCCTCTGCCCTGCTGACCCCCAGTACACTCGGCTACTGATTCCTGTTTTTGCAAGCTGCCCCTCTGACGTTTTTTACTGCGCCCCCATAAAAGACCAGCTAGATTCGGCCCTGTGACAGACCATTGTCTATAGAAGCATTCCTACATAATAGACATAATAGACTATAGGTTATAGTTCCTTTGGTTTTCACATTATTCACAGCAGTGCAACACATTTTCTTTCTTTTGTTTGATGTATTTGTGTTTGACTGCCACAATTAGTGAATGCAGCAGCTGTGCTTAACACTGGATGTTTTATTTGCTTATTTATTTGGTTTTGGCAGCACATAATTATCATCACTCTGTAATAGACAAAGGTCTGCCAGTGTGATAAAGGATTGAAGTAACCACCTCCCTATCTTTCCATATCTTCATCGGCAGACTAGGAAGAAAAGCTGCAGAAGTGCGGTTATACAAGGCCGGAGGCCACTCCTCCACTCAACACCCTGTCCATAACCGGGTGAAAGGGGGCCAGACTGGGACTATCTAGCCAGGCTTCCTAAAGTTTAATAAATTTACCAGCACAACATCTGTGCTGATAGACTAACTTTTCTCAAGTTAGCGTATCATTGACCACACTAACCCAGCCTGCCTGAGAGGGGGGAGATGAAGACTGCCATTTTTGAGCAGTGATTTTCTTGTCCATAAACAAGAGGCAAAGGATAGCAGTATATGTGTTGGGTTCATAGTTCTTCTCAACCAACCAACCTAATAAGCATAGTTTAGGGTCTAATGAAACAGCAAGGAAGAAAATGTTGTTAATAAGTGCTTTCACGGAAGCCCAGTACCGCACTAATTTAGGGCATTTTCCCAACATGTGTATCAATGCACCATTCTCTACTGCACATTTTGGGCACAAGAAAGTGTCCCTTTTATGCCATTCATATGGTTTCTGTGCGGTGCAGTATGTGTGATGGATTATGAAAAGTTGCGTGAGCTTTTGAGACGTAGACACAGATACTGATGATACTATATGTTGGTATGTATCGTGGACCACTCATCGTCCATGATGGTTCTTAGGTCCTCAGCCTAGTACGTTCTGCGATTATATAAGATTTCATGTTTAATTCATTTTGACCTACTTTAGTCATTCTGTTAGCACTTAAGCAGTTAAGGTATCTCCTCTAGTAGATGTTCTGATCTGGAATTTAATAGTGATTCTGTCATGAATCTCAATACTCACAAACTGGAACCTTCAGACGTCTTCTTGGTATTTTCTTTTGTATATGTGAGGATATGTTCACAAGTTGATTTTTCATTTCTCTATATGTGAATGTTTAAAAGTACATTTTTTTTGTATACCTCAATGTATGAATGATGTGTTTGGAACTACAGACTGACCCCCTGTCTGTACTTTTGTGTAGTGAAGGTTTGTTAACTCCCAATAGTTTGTTTGGAAGCATGGACTTAGCCATGTTTCAAGATGTCAGCGTGTATTATAATAAATGTCAGGAGGTTTTTATGCAGTATATTGTGAATTTTAATGTAACCTTCATTCATTCACTGTTTTAGTAAACATGGCATAAGAATTATGTGAGATGACATTTTCAGAAGTTGGGTGCTTTAATATTGTAATCTGTGATTAACCTTTAAATGTGTTATGAAAAATAATGAGATAAAATTGGAATTGTCAGTGTCCAGGTAACTGACCTTAGTGGCAGGTATATGGTTTGTAATAGAACTCTATAGCACATACTGTGTTAGAAAAGCAAATAATAGAGCATCTAGTTGTCCAGAGTACTTTTTTTTAAAAAGGATTTATTCCAGAGTACTTTTTTTTAAAAAAAGATTTATTCCAGGCAGCTGTTTATATAAGTCTTGTTATCCCCACACAGAAATAGAGTAAAGCAGTCCCTAGATAGTGCAATTTTCATTCCAACCACAACAGATGTAAGGAAAGCAAATCGCTTGATTCTCCCATCAACATTGTATTTAGCTGCAGGCAGCGATCGCATGAAAAAAAAATCAGACAGGCTGGTTGTACTGAAGTCAATCGACGGATTTACTTTAGTACAACCAGCCTGAGCATAGATGGATCAAATATCAGCCAATTCGACAGATTCGATCCATCTAAGGCTGGCTTAACTGTTCATGAGGTTTAAATTAGGAATTGATCACTTTTCCAGATCTCCTCTATTACTCTTTATAATTGGATGATTTCCCACAATCATTTTTTTAAATAATGTGGCAATGTCCATAATTTATAATAGTGCATTAATTCTTGAATGCCTAGCAGTTATGGTTGAAATCCATTGGAGCGACACAGAAAGATCTCAATTGATAGTTCAGTTAATGCTGAACTCCAGGTAAACCTAAAAGACTCAAATACATATTTCCCTGTATTCAAAAATACATCATTATTTGTACTTTTCTAGGACTATATGAACAGAAATACAAATCCTTTAACAGGTAAATGTCTCCCATATATGTTAATGCTTGTATATAGCTATTTGCCTGACGTTCACCTTTAAACTTTAAATTGAGAACACCTTTGGTTTTAAATTCAATCAGCCAGATGCCTAAGGGGCATATTGATAAAACAGTAAATGTAACTTTTACCAAAAATTTGCTGGTGGTGAACAAACCACTTTAATTTAAAACAAATGCACCAGGAAGATTCTCCTGTGGTGATAGTTTGGTGAATGTTGGATTCACAGTTTTTTTTTTATTTACTGTATACGTGTTAGCAATGATACAGAAAGAATAATGAATTTTAGCAATATATCAATTAGTGATATGAACTAATTGATATATTTTGTCCAACAGTAGTCATCATTCTGTGACACATTACAGGTGTTGTGTCATATGTTAAAGTGTATTCTGGTCATTGCTAGTATTTGGTGAAGTCAAGGAGAGCAAACTACAAAGCTTGGTCTTTTCAGTGACATCTCAAGGTCATATAAGTGAGTCTAGATATAAATAAAAAAACTGTGCTGAGAATCTGTGATGGTTGACCTGTCCTCTTGAATACAACAGTTGCCTGGCTGTCATGTTGAACCATTTGTTGCATGCTTGTTTTTTTTGTAATCCAAACTCTTTTTATTGATTAAGAGATCAAAAGTGACAGTGCATTCTATCAGATATACAGCCAGAGCAGTCAGTTATTACAGTGGTATACAACATTCTCTTGAAAAAGCATACAGCGTATAATATGTAATACAGAAAAACAAAAAAAGAGAGAAGGACTGTTGCTGCATTTGTGATCCCAAACATTCCATCCAGAAGAAAAAATATTTAAACCTACTAACGGCAGGTGGGATTATCTGCAGAAATTAGGAGACAATCTAAATGGTATTACAGCTTGCCCTATAGTGAGCTTTTAAAAGATATCAGTACATAAAACACATATACCAATGATAGCTAACAATAATCATAATTGAAGCAGCCCATGCATTACTAATTGTGATGGAGCTTAGCCTGGCATATCGAGCCAGGTCTGCCAGACCAACTCAAATTGGCATTCCGGTGGTGATAGGTGATTTGTTCCTTAAAAGTAGAGTGTTGACATATTCAATACATTGTTTG